TAAATATTTCAAAAACATTAAGATGGTTTGGAAATTTCATAGATGAATAGTAATGAAAAAAAAAAGAGGTTGGTTTTGCAATTGACTTCAATGTGTGGGTTGGTTTTGCTAAACACCCTATATTAAAATTATTTGTAAATATTTGTTAAAATAGAAAACTAAAACAATACTAATGAAATAGAATAAAAAATAAGTAATGTTTAAGTTTTTATTAGCATTTACTGGTTCATTAAGTAAAGTAAAAATTGTTAAATATAATAAGTAAAAACATCATTAAAAGAAGGTGACACATGACATTTTCGCCCCTATGGAAAAAAAAAATCTACTTTATTAGATAAGATTTTATAACTAATAAATCATATATCACCATTACAATATAAATGTATATATAACTTTAATAAAAAAAATATAAGTACATTGAAAACAAAACAAAATCACATTAACTTATATATCATATGTTCATAAATAAATATATATATATATATATATATATATATATATATATATATATATATATATATATATATATTAAAATTATCTATATGTCTTTTTGCTTTATTTTTTTCCGGTAATCCTCTCATAATCTTTATTTTTTATTTGAAACTCACAGTTATCACATCATCCTTCCCCATAGTATCATTCCCATGACCATCATCATGTGTCTTTCTATATCCATGAACATAATTTCAGCCAAACCACGACCACTTAATGATTTCATCCACTGTTGTAAACATCACCGCCACTACGAACACCACCAAATCTGTAACCTCTATATCTTTCCTATCTACCCACCGATCCTTCATAACTATCATTGTATCTTAATATAGTGAGTGTAAAATTGAGTCTATTCTATTTGCTAATTTAACATATACATAGTATAGTATTTTTAGACCATTATATAATTTACACGACATGTACTATACTATTATTTTCTAATATATTATTTTGTTTGAATAAATATGTAAATTATTCTATGTGAATAAATATGTACTATACCATGTGATATATATTCCATTCTATTTTTATTGTAAGTATTTCAGATTTTAATTATATTAGAAATTATAAGTATATATTATATTTTATATTTGGGGTTACACTATGATTTAGGGTTTAAGGTTTATTAATTAGGATTTAGGGTTTAATATTTAAACGTGAGGGTGGAGTTATTAGTAGGTTTAGGGTTTATTAATTATGATTTAGTAAACGTGAGGGTAAAATTATACTCCCTCCGTTCCTTAAAGATACATATTCTAGAAAAAAAATTTGTTTCTAAAAGATCCATTTTTTACATTTTCAATGTATGTTTTATTAAATAATTGTAAACTTCAAAAAACTTAATTGCACTAATTGATTTTTGATTGGTTTAAAATTATGGAAAGGAGATAAATACAAAAAACTATGCAAATTTATTGTGTTTTATTAAAAAGTGTGAAAAAATTGGAATATGGATCTTTTAGGAAAAGAGGGAGTAATTAGGATATAGGGTTTAATATTTAAGTGTAGAGGTGGAGTTATAATTAAAGTTTATGATTATACTATTAAAGAGTTTTAATACAGTTTTATCCATCAATTTACTATAAATTATATACTATTTTATATGATGTTCTAGTTAATTAGTTTACGCATATATATATATAGAATGGACCAATTGTACTATTTTAAAATATTNTAATTAGGATATAGGGTTTAATATTTAAGTGTAGAGGTGGAGTTATAATTAAAGTTTATGATTATACTATTAAAGAGTTTTAATACAGTTTTATCCATCAATTTACTATAAATTATATACTATTTTATATGATGTTCTAGTTAATTAGTTTACGCATATATATATATAGAATGGACCAATTGTACTATTTTAAAATATTTCACATTATATCTTATCTACGAAAAAATGTTTTCACTTAGCTTCCATTTTTTCACCACCTGTTCCTCCATCTTTTGTTTAACAAATTAAACTTATGTATGTGGTGATTAATTGAATGTCATAATGTTGTAGGTTTGATTTCAACCGTACAGCTTTTATTTTGTTTATATGTTACAAATCATCATCGATGACATCACTTCCTCTCTTATGTCACAATCAGAGTTTCATTCTTAATTTCTAATGAAAATTTGGTTAGTTAGCAAATTCTCCCTAAATAAAAATAACATTAAAAGAAGGTGATACATGACTTTTTTGTCTTTGTGTAGAAAAAAAAATCTACTTTATTATAAGATATTATGTCAAAATCAATATCATTCAAATTATTTTCAGATTTTAGCTATTTGGCAAATTAACCTTTATATTATCTATCAAAAAAAAAAAAAAAGAGAACCAAAGATTTATCTTAAAACATTCAACTAACTGATGTTTTCGTTGTTCTTGTATTTTGTTTATCATGATTAGTAGTCAAGATAATGTATAAAAGAATTAAACAAACGCAAGCAATAAGAAAAGAGAGAAATCATCACATAGGTCTAACGGTTTTGGTTTCATCTTCTTATAATGTTTCCCAAGAGTGTTTCTTCTTGCGGCCTCTTGATGTTGCTCAGGGATAGGGCTGGGCATTTTATCCGTTAAATTTGATTCGATTCATTATTTGTTTAAATTTGATCCGAAAATTCTAAATATCCGTAAACTTTCGAATCAAAGCAAATACTAAAAATATATATCCGTTAAAATCGAAGCAAATCACAAATATTAAAATTTTGGGAAGCGGATATCCATTCCCATCCGAAAATATATAAATGTATGTATATATTGATTATATTTAAAATTTTAATGTATAAAATTATATAATTATTATTCTAACACATGATTTTGAAGGATTATATTCACGATATTACTTATATAAATGTATTACATAAAAAAGAAAAAAAAATTATGACAATTATATTTTTTGTTATTAACTTTTCTGTTATTATAATTGCAACTTAAACTTCAAAAATAACAAAATATGTGAATTTAGTAGTTTTTTAATTTTTATTTTATATATCATGCAAAAAAATATTTTTGCAAAGCAAAATGATATAAAAATTTTAAGATTATTTGTATTAATCAAAATAGATTAGATTTTCGTAAATATCCGCAAATATCTACTTATTTTCCGGATGTCCGTTTTTCCGGATATCGTATTTTTCCGAAGCAAAGCAAATACCAAAATTAGATATCTTGTAACATCTGAAGCAAATCTCAAATACCTTAAAAAAATCCGGATCTCCGATCCGCGTCCACCCTTACTCAGGGGAGATCAAACTCACATTTCTCACTTTGAACTCGACCTGAGGCTCTTCCTACTTATAGAGGCTCTTCCTACTTATGATAAAGCTTCGTTTTAGAATCCAGTTGTATCGCAAACCCACTAGCCATATAAAAAGGCATCTTTCCCACAAAGCCTAATGAATGAATGTACAACTATGCTTCCTAGAAATGGAAACGACATATTTTTTCAGCTCTTTGTCATATATTCAACGGTTGAGGTTTAAAGTTGGAGTCCATTTGCATTTTTTCTTCATCGACATTAATATAGTCATCCCTTCGTTACCTAGCATTTGTGTGTTGATCTTATAAGTATTCCAAAGTTAAATCTATATTAAGGAAAAGGTTTTATCAACTTGCATTAAAACATTTATTTCGATATAAGTAAAGTGTATTGTTTTAACAAGAAAAGACAAATGAGTCAAGAAAAACGAGTGATAGTGGTACAAGTTCATTGTATGTTAATCGTGGCATATACTATAAATCATACCAGTTTCTTTAATAAGATGTTTGTGTGTCATATATTACTAGTATTATGCAAAGGCAAATAGACTGTGACATTAAAGAGTAAAGCAACTTACCATCGTGAAGTATCCTCTTCTAATACGTTAGTCAAACTCGAAACGGTAATTACGACTTTAACTTGCAGCCATAAGTTGAACCGTCTTCTTCTACAAACTTGATTGTGAAAGCGCAAAAGATGGATCAGATATGAGAGAGAAACAATTCATTTTCTATATATACTTTCAGAAACTATGTGAATCTCGAAGCGCTACGAATTTCTTGTGACAAGTAAATATTATTGATTTGATTTATTTTTTGTTAACAGGTTTCCCGGTTACTTCACAGGGCAAAAATGTACTATTATAGAAAAGACACACTATGTATAGATATAGTAGGACAATTAACTATAGAGTGAATTATTGATTTTTTTTAGCGTCATACAATGCAATTTCTCTTTTAAAAATATTAGAGTTAAATTCAGAGATGTCCAATTTATCCAAATGATAAATCAACAGTAAAAACAACAAAATCGGCTAGATATAACATGTATAAAATTATAGTATAATTAAAGTAATATAATATTGCTAATATAAATGATGCATACAAATTATAAATTAATTTAAAATTAAAACTAAATACTAATCGATTATTATCATATATTTACTTTAAAAATATTTATACTCTTGCATGAGTACTGGAAAATCACCTAGTTTATTATAAACCATGGCATATAGGAGATGAGATACTAAGTTATACAAATGATCCATATTTATGCTTGTGCAAAAATGCAGCTATTTATATTCTTTATCTTATCAAGAGAAAAAAAAAACATGATCGAGAGCTTGTTGTCAAGTGATAAGGGAAAAAAATTGGGATATCACCATATTTGAGGTTCGATATACTTGTTATGCGAAACTAAATCACCTGGTCATCCTACACGGATATGAATTATAATATTCAGAAGAAAATCTATCCATGCGCTGCACCTTCACCTGAGAGTTAGGTCGGTGTCTTTAGTAGATTGGACTAACTTTTTGTTTAAAAAAAAAACAGAACCAACGAATTATCTTAAATTATTAATTCTATTATATTCAACCTATTCTAACAAATGATATTTCCGGTGATCTTGTATTTCATATATTATAATTTGTAGTCTAATACAGTAATATATAGAGAGATAAAATCATCGCGTACAAGTATAAAACTATAAATACCCCTTCCCCCACCCCCACTGAAGAATCACATCGCTGAGAAACTCCTCAAGTCAAAAAAACTCTTTCAAGAAAAGAAAATGGTTAGGACGCAAGGGCCATATGGTGTTTCGGGCAGTGGAGTCATGTGGGATGATAATCACCACGATAATTTGAAGAAGATAACCGTCAGTTACAGTGCCTTGGGTATCAACTTAGTCCAGTTTGAATATCTTGATGGCACGGAGACTGTAAAGGGGGAGGCACACGGCAATTTTGATTTTGCAGCTACTTCGATTGCAACCGAGCTGGTCATTTTCCTACCAAACTTGCTAACAATTCCAGTTTCTTTTTTCTTGATTAATGTCTTCTACCTTAGATCTTCATGGGTTTTTGGGGGTACGTAGGCTTATCTTGCGGAAGGTGAAGTCGTCACCTTCGTAACAGCATATACCGGTTATGCGGTGAGGAAGCTAGAGTTCAGGACAAACGTGCGAATTATAAAAATGGGAGTCGACTCGAAGGTGTACGCTGAGGAAGAAGCCATTCCGTTTGGTCCTTTTGAAGGTGATGTACCAATCAAGGTTGTCGGATTCCATGGCGAATCTGGAGATCAATTCCTTCATAAGTTTGGTGTTCACTGGGCTCCAATACAGGCAGTGGGAGTGGGAGGAAGGGTTAACTATCTCAGAAACTAAAGTATATTTTCAATTAAGAAATGTTATAAAGTTAAAATCATATGCCGGGAATCTATAGTTGTTCCAGATGAAATAAATAATAAATAAGTTTCCAACCATCATTTTTAAGTTCTATTTCAAATGCAGTTATGGATTTATTATTGAATACTTAATACTGCTATAGAAAATGTCAAAGAGTTGAAAACCTGAGGATTAATCAAATGATGTTAAATCGAAGCCTTTTGCGGCGATTCCTTTCGTGTGGTGAAAACGCGCCACTCGCGTAAACTATTTTGTCTCATTTCTCTGAGAAACAATGTTTTTTTTAACACTAAGATTTATAATAAACATGAAGATATTTATTGATGAAATTTTTTTTATCACTAAAATTAATATTAAAACATGAAGGATACAGGAATATTATGGGTGAAAATTATTTTGGCTATTGTTTATTTCAATCTTTGTCGTTGTTTTTTCTATTATCTTACACTGACACAAAGCACAAACGCGTTTTCACCACACGTCAACCAATTGAATCCATTAAAGCATGCATACATCGTACTATTATACTACTATACTCATCTAGTCATAAATAGTCCGTATGTTGGTTGAACTTGAAAATGTTACTTAGAAATAAAACCTAAACTATGCACAAAAAAAATATTAAAATAGAATAATACAAAGACTTTGAACCGCACCCACTGCTGACATGACTATTCAATTTAATACTGGTAATATTTTCGGGTTAAACACCCAAAATCAACTGTATGAAGTCGAGACGAAGTTAATTGTTTAGATACTCGATCAATAGACATGCCAAAAGAACATTTTTTATCAGGAAAACCCGAAAAGTCAAACACGGTATGAATATCAATGCAAAGACTTCCAGAAGCGATGTTGACATAAAATAGAAAAAGAAAGAAATGTAATACCCTTCAAATAAACAGAAGAGAAGATCATATGAGAACATATTTTTTCTCAATAACAAAAACAAAAAACAAAAGAAATCAATATAATTTATCTTTTAGCTCGAGAACAAAAAACATGATTCTATTCCAAACTATACATACATATTGATTCAAACCGAACATGAAATGAACTATCAATTTCCAACAACGAAAGTTTTGACTAGACAATTACTATATAATAAGTTGTTGACATTGAAATAGTTTATATTGTCAATTGTCATGGTTGACCTTCAGAAGTTTCATAAATATATACAATTACGTATCAAAGGTATTCAAGAACACAAAATACCATATAATATGATTCATTCTGTCAAACGTTGTTGTATGTATCTAGCTAAGTACATCTTAGCTCTATAATCGACCAAACAGTTGTAGATAGAAAGGGAGAAGTAACTCAGAGAAACTTACTAGTCAACCATACAAAAATGTATCTGTGGTTAAATAATTTTTAGGCTGATATTCTTCATCGTTTGGGACATACATGTTATATCTTTTTAGTGTTCTTTATCTGTTTCAGTTTGTATCGATTTTACCATCTAATATGATTCATAATCTCTTTTATTATTTTCATCATCATTAAAACATAAAAGAAGAAAAAGATGTATGGCAAAACTAATCAAAGCAACCATAGCCATATGCAAAGTTTCTGTCAATGAAAAAAAAANATCGTTTGGGACATACATGTTATATCTTTTTAGTGTTCTTTATCTGTTTCAGTTTGTATCGATTTTACCATCTAATATGATTCATAATCTCTTTTATTATTTTCATCATCATTAAAACATAAAAGAAGAAAAAGATGTATGGCAAAACTAATCAAAGCAACCATAGCCATATGCAAAGTTTCTGTCAATGAAAAAAAAAATAGTATTCATCTATTATAGCGTCATATTTTTATTTCTAACAATGATCTTTAATTATTAAACTTTTATATTTATGACTAGGACAAACTTACATTTTTTATAAAATAAATTCACACTATTTATTTAGATTATAGCCAATTGAAGTGATTTAGTTTAAACAAGTTCATCATTTTATAAAAAGATTGCAAAATTTAAAGTTAGTAAGGTTAATTTTATCTTTATAATAAACAGTATATGTTGTAAAATAAAAGTAAAATGTTTTGATAACGACCAATATTCCTTTTTAGAAGTAAAAATAGAAGAATGCATGCAGGAAACACATTTTTATTTCAGAATTATTCTATTATAAAATTAAAAATAGAAAAAGAAATTGGAAATGATCTTAATAAGGAAAATCCATGTATTATAATAATCCAGTTATCCAATATGTGATGATTTATTTTTCTTTTTTACTTGCGTTCTGAAAAGGTTGTTGAAATTTCATATATATTGTATTAGACTCATTAATCATGATAAAAAAATACAAGATTGACGGAACATAATTTAATTGAATAGGTTGAAAATAATAGTTAATATATTTAAGATAAAACTTTGGTTCTCTTTTCTTCTTCTTGTTTAAATAGAGTATATAGTTAGTACTATTTTAGCATAGGCATAAATATGATTTATAGTATGGGATAAACCTAGCTGGGGGCAGAGATGTGGATGCCGAGAGCGGTGAGCGGGTGAGGTCACTGAGGTGGTCACCAGAACTTTATCAGTAAAATCCAATGATCTTCGAGCCTTTTTCTCTTCGGTCACGAAATGCTTTCCGTTAAAGTGTCCACAAGATAACGACCAATATTCTTTTGTCACAATCACGAACGTGAGGGATTTGATTTGACTCTCAGTGAAGGTCCCCTCAATGGCTTCTTTGTAGTCATCGTCACTCGTCAGAGATCATAAGCTATCAATAAAATTAAAATTTAGAAAATAATTGATAAAACAAGAAACCTTGATGTCCTCTTGCTATGGAATGAGGGCTTTAGCACTCCGGTGATCAGCTCCAACAAAATCCATGTTATCTTTGATGTAGTCACACTTGAGGAAAACACCATCAAGGTATAGAGATCAAGAAACTGATAACTTTCCCGACCTCCTATAAGGAAATGAATGAAAGTAGGTGAAATCTCTTCTATTCATAAGCGGATCAAGAAAATAGTAATCAACGGAGAGAATAAGCAATTGATAAGCAATTGTCACAAAAACCTCTTTTGTATTGCTTTAGAAAAATAATCTCAAAAAACTAAAGCTATCACACCACACAAATCATGATTATCAAACAACATATGCATCTGTTTATATGACTCGAAAACTCACTTTTAGATAACCATAACAACTTAAGATTAGGATGACTTGTGTTTCAAGCTAACCAAGCTTAAACCAATATTCTCCCCCTTAAGCTTGACTTCATCTTGACACACATCTTGCACTCCAATCAGTTTCCTCATTTCAATGAATCTGATTCGGTTAAGTGACTTTGTAAGTATGCCATCCCTTTGTTCATTACCCAGAGCATGCTCTATATCAATTTCATCATTTTCAACACGTTCACGTATGAAGTGGAACCTCCTGTGGATGTGCTTACTGCGGTCATGGAATACGGGGTTTTTAGTCAGAGCAATCGCAGACTTGTTATCAACACTTATAACTACCTTCTTGCAATCATCTCCTACGACTTCACTCAAGAGCTCCTGGAGCCAAATTGCTTGTTTTGCAGTTTATGTGGCTGCCATAAATTCTGCTTCACAAGATGATAATGGCACAATCTCTTGTTTTAAGAACACCAAGTTATAGGACTACCATCAAGATAGAAAACATGTCATGTTGTACTCTTGCCATCATCAATATCAACGTTGTGTGAACTATTACTGAAACCCACCAACTTTAGCTTTGATGTTCTTGAATAGTCTGAGAGAAGTAGTACCTTTTAAGTACCTTAATACATGCTTTAAAGCCGCTCCATGAGGCTCATTGGATTCTTGCATATATCTACTCAACACACCAACACTGAAAGAAAGATCAGGCTGTGTGTGTAGTATATAACGAAGACATCCAATGCTTCTTATCTACTCTCTCTCTCATCAGTTGATTTCTCGTGAGGTGAATTTGAAAGCTTCACATTCATATCCATCGGTATATGAGTAAGGTTACAGTCACGCATCCCTGCTTCTTCAAGGATCTTCCGAGCATATCTATCTTGTGACAATACAATGCCACCAGCAGTTTGACGAACTTCAATACCTAGATAATAGGTTAGTCTACCAAGATCACTAACCTCGAACTTCCTAGCCATCTATCATTTAAACTCAGAGATCAGGTTCAAAGATGAGCCTGTGACGAGCAAGTCATCAACATATACGCAGACAAGAAGAAGACCCTCCTTCTCTATTTTTCTATATAACGATGGATCTTTAGTGCAACGGGTAAAGCCAAGTCCCTTCAAGATTCGATTTAGCTTGGCCTTCCAGGCTCTCGGTGCCTGTTTGAAACCATAAAGAGCTTTATGTAACTTGTAGAATTTATCTTCTTTACCTTCAATCACAAACCCTTCAGGCTGAGTAACGTAAACTTCTTCCTTTAACTCCCCACGTAAGAATGTTGTCTTTACATCAAGATGGTGAATCTCCCAATCTCTTAAAGCTGTAAAGGCAATGACCACTGATAGTCTCAACACGAGCAACTGGTGCAAAGACTTCATCATAATCAATGCCATGTCGTTGAACATAGCCTTTTGCTACTAACCGTGCTCTGCACTTGCTTATGGTTCCAACTGTGTTTCTCTTTATTCTGAAAACGCACATTAGTCCAATAGGTTTGAATCCTTTTCGTAAATCAACAAGTATCCAAGTGTGGTTTTTCTCGATGGAATTGATTTCTTCTCCACACGCATCTACCCAAACTTTTCGATCCTTAGCCTCATTGTAGTCCCGTAGTTCGTTGTTAATAACCATTAAGAGCCTTTCACACTCTATTTTGGCCAAGAAGATGTAAACGTCTAGATTTGAGGGTTTTGTTTTTACTCTCTTTGGTCTTCTTACACTAGTATTTGGTTGTTCTTCTTCCTTGTTTTCATCTGCTTCGTTTATAACTTCTTCTTCATTGTTTTCATCTCCACTTTTTTCTGAGTTTCATCCCCAGTACTCCTTATTGGTGTTAGCTCAATCTCAAAGAAGTCATGCTCTGTTTCTTTCACTCCACTAGTATCATTCCAGCTCCATTGTTTTTCTTCATCAAAATACACAT